TTATGTCTAAACATTTCAAAAAGGCAGAAAAGATTTCATTCACTTATTTTTAGCTTCGATCTCAAAACACTTATAATATGTTTTTATTGAAAATACTTATATGACAAATAAAATTAATCGATACAGATGACCCCCATTAATATCAACCTCTCATTAATTAAGAATTGAGTTTGAACTATAAAATCATTATTTCTTTGTTATTAATCCTTGTAGAGATCAACATAATTATCTATCTAAATAGGTTTATATTAATGAGGGACATAATATTACTAACACTAACGAGCACTTTTTTGAATTTTAAAAAGTGCTGTTAACAAGAATAACAATAATAAAGCTTTACCTCTACGCGCAAATATGCATTGCTAAATAAAGAAATGCTAACATTGGCCAATTGGCTTTATTGTTATTGATTACCCAATTTTTATCATAATTAATATACCGAACTATTAAACAATTTACAAATCCTCAAAATAATTATGGCTATCAGAAGTCCGTTTCCTAACAATTCGTTATTCCAACAGTTCAATATTTTACAGTTTAATATTTTACATAGGATGATGAATTAGGTGAGACAAACTTAGATTTCTGTTTTATATTTTTCTCTTTTATATCTTAAAAAAAGAGAGAAAAAGAATGATACGAGTAAGATGTGTTATAACAACGATAAGGTTAATTTGTTGTTTTAATGATCATTATCACTCTAATTTATCAAAAAATAAGAAATGGTTTGGGAAGAGAGGAGAGAATAAAGGAAGAAAGTATGAATGGGATAAAAGGGGTGAGAGTGTGAAAAAGAAAGGGGTGAAGAGTAAATGAGAATGAAGAGAAAGATAAAACTGATTTCGTTTAAGTATTAAAAAAAATAATGAAATTAATATTATCAGCTCAGCTTCTGAAAAGTCAAGACTTTGTGCACAACAATTATACTGTAAATATGAACATTAACAGGAAAATAATTAAAGATTTCCCTGTTCTCATTTAGCAACATTCATATTTATTATAAAAACATTTCCACTTGATATTTATACAACAAAGTAGAATTTATAGAATTTATAACCCTAATAGAATCTGACCTAAAATTTATGATACGCTTATTAACATTACAAATGGTGCAAGAAAATATTTCAAGTTATTTGCGCATGCCAGGACACCAAAAAATGATGCTTTAATACCACTGACTGACATGGTATCTGAATAGGAAGAGTAAAGAAGAAATTATTTCAAAAAAATTAAGACCTCTGAGCTCATTATGAATCATTAAAAAAAAAATGCTAATTTAAAATCAGAAATCAGAAATCAGTAAACTGCAATCACTGGGTAGTTCAAACCTTCATTTTGAAGATTAAAACTTCTGACTACTCGAAAATCGAATCATATGAATTCAAGCAGTAAATCAGTTTATAGTTTAAAAAAATATTCGCCCAAAATATATAAATATATTGGTTTTCGACCAAAATTTGTAGACTGTTGAATCTTAACTGAAAACTATACGAAAATGGTTGTCTGGCAACAAAAAGCTTCACAAATTGAATCTGAAATCACTTTATATATTTCTGAAATAATAAAAATACACTGATCATTCTCAAAAATATGAATATTATGTAGCTCTATTCATTAATAGACTTCTATAATAGATAAATACACAGTTAAATACACAAAGCGGATCAAACCTAACTATGGACATTATCTGAAAAAAATTTATTTTAATGTAGAGACGAGTAATACAACCTATAAGTCCAGTAATAAAAAAAGGTGCAATTGTTCAATTTAATTAAAAGGCAAATATAAATACAGACGTAAGCCACAACCATCTAATCTGATACCTTCACAATGGATATAACTCAAGCAATAAAGACAAGCCTCAATATGAAACCAGGATGGTTTGAAATCATGTTGACATAATGCTTAACACTTTATTTATCACCAGAAGGAACTTATATCAACTTTGCAACATTCATCCGTGTGAAATATATAAAAGTGTAAACTGGATTATTCATGAGTTTGAAACAATTATAGCATTCCCACTACGTATCTTTCAGGTTGATGTTTATATTTGAATATTAAAGTATAACTCTTTGATCATATTCGGCGAGCATTTTTACGAACCATTAATGCAAAATTTATAGTTAGAAAAGTTACATGACTTGAGTTCAAATAGAAGACCACCTGGCCGACGTGCTCATGAAATGCCTGATAAAGTAAATGAGTGGATTTGATTTTGTGTGAACTCAAAGAATATTTGATCTATTTTTCAGACAAGAACTGTTAATAGCCCTTGAAACATTAAATGAAGACTCTTGTAAGCTTTCGACAGTTTAGAATGAGGAATAAATAAAGCATATAAGGTTTTTTAAAATAGATATCTCTAGGTAAAAATTCAGGTCATTAATTCGCATGAACTTCTATCTTATTGCTTTGCAAACTCCATGACCCCAAGAACAGCAGCAACCACAACTTCTGGAGTTAAGTAACAACAATGATTTAGCAACGTATTTGATTATCAGGATGGACTATTAAATAATCCAGAATTTAGAGTTTTCGAGATTCTAACTCTAAACTTCACTATAAGCATTATAATTCACCAACAATAATCGAAGGATTTATCCATTATTATGATTCATCAATCGCATTTATAAATCATCAACAAATCGGAGGATATATTTATTATAATTCATCAACAACAAGTCGAAGGACTTATCTATTATTATTATAATTCATCAACAATAGAAGAATTATTTATTTAATAAGTTAGATTTAAAAGTTCACACTTTATTTGAAGCAGTCAAAATTGCAACTTTTGTCTGGAAATACTATGAAAAAAATATTTTAAAGAAACTCGTATAAAATGCAGAAATTAGTTTGCCTTTATAGTTCTTTTTTGGCGTAGTAAATTTTCAATGTAATAAAATTTTGTTATAAACTATATTATCAAAACAAAATAAACGTGATGACATTATTATAACAAAAGTCACATATTCGTCTAGTTATTATAATTACTATAATAATACCCGACCATTATATCAAGATTATTATTATTAGGTGGTAATACTAACCTAATGCGGGGCTAATGTCGGGCAAAAGTGTTTTGATAGGGTCCGTCATTTATTATTATTATTATTATTTTATATATATAAGTTGCTAAGTTAGATGTTTCGCTTAAAAAACTATTCTGCATTCTATTAAAAAATATCTGTAATGTAAAAATTTGATAAAATCTATTCCTTTATCAACTCTAAACCTAACTTTAAACTTTAATTTGACCCTTGACCCTAACTCAAACTCTAACAATAATGAAAATAGATACACAGATGCACCATTTGAATTTAATAACGTCCATAAACGTTATTTCGAATTTTGGCCGAATTATCGAAATTACACTCCTGCGCGTTATTACGCGAAAATACGGTACTATACTTAGTCGATACTGTCTAAATACATCCTGCACACTGTCTAATGCATAATTATTAAAAAAAATATTAGTAATATGCATTTAGACCGTTAATTTTCTGATGTTTGATTGGTTAATACTGTATAAATGCATAAATAATTCAACTGCATAAATTGGGCTTGATACGAATTTGACAAAAAAAATATCTCGTGAACTATTGATCAGAATTGCATTATTTTGATACCATTAGGTTCATCTCAATGAAACTAATTTAATGGTACCAAAATTATGCAACTCTGATTAATAGTTCATGAGATAACTAATTTTTTTGTGAATACTATTTTTTTTTTTGTCAAATTCGTCCTTTTTTCAGCACCAAGCCCAATTGATCAATCACAATAAAGTTGAGTTGAGCCATCCGTATCCGACCCATAGAGAAGTATTTAGATGTTACGATATGTTGATAATGACACAAAGAATAACTATCGAACTTCAGCATAAAGCTGCCAAGACATGATATGAGTTTGGTCTGAGGAATTAGAATTTTGTTTGATCTGAGGCACATGATTTATACTTAGCTTGTTTAAAGCCATGCATTCACTAGCGCTAGTTTGTCTTTGCCGCTATAATTTATTGCTGTATATATCCTAATTACAGAATTAGGTATAGGAATTGGGTTGTTTAACTAAATAATCTTCAATCACAGGTCTATCGGCAACAATTTTATATCGATATCAATGTGAGAATTTAAGAATTTGAATATGGAATTTCACACTTAAATACATTTCAAGGTTACTATTTTGTTAGTGACCAAAAGGTAGCGCCTAAAATTTTTCTTAATCGTTTAATCGTTTAACCGTTTAATTTGGCCGGCATTAAAATAATTCCAGATCACGACCAACATAATTCCGCCCGGGACTATGGAGCAACTTTTAAACGGTTAAACGGTCCCAATCCCTACCAAAAGGATATCTATTAATTTCTGGTTCTGGCATTTCCACTTGATCCATCTGAATTACAGTAATTCCATGTTTTTCACTACCAGATCGTCCGCATATATCGGATATATCAGATTTGGAAGAACCGACCCGAGAAACCTCGTAGAAGATCGTTCGGGGCTTCACAACGTACGTGCGTACTCAATTTTCTTTTCTATCCAAAATCGATTTTACAAATGGTATCGGTATCTGTTAAGCTAATTTATCGATTCCGATTCGGCAATGTAAAAAAAAATTGTATATATAGTAATGTGGCTTTTGTTAAACCTGGTTTAGAGTTGATAGTTATACAAAAGGCTATTAGAATCAGACCAGTTATATTTATACATCATATGTCGAATTTTAATTGCTCAGATCTAAATGAACTCCCCGCATTGCACAATGCACACCTCGAGTAAACATCTGGAGAAACGAAAATCGCTGTTAAATCTGTACAACTTTTGTAATCAAAAATTAACAATTTAAAATCATAATCGAAATATTATAAAGCAGAATTTTTTAGTTAACTTATTTAATAAAATTGTGACACATCGTTGTTGTAGAATAACCAAATATAAAGCACGAGATCATTAAAATTGTCTCACGTTAACTTTCTCTTTCAAAACTTTGGAAAAATGGCTGCCTTAAGTTCGAAAGATTTTGCTGTCATAAAACATCTTTTGGAACATGATAATCATAAAAATCGTAAAGCGATGCTTGATTTTGTGGCTAAAGATCCAATTTATATTCCACGTTATAATGTTTCTCTCGAATTTGAACGAGAAATTGCTTTGCAAAGATTAAAAAAGTTGGCTGATCAAGGGTTTATTTCTGTTTATGATTTTGAAAAAAATCCTTTGAATATTTTTGCAGGTATTTAATTTTTCTATTTATTTGTTATAAAAACTATGCAATTGTTTTTACATTTTTAATTATTGAACAGTTCATGAAATCGCCGGTATGGTCGATGGTTCTATGGCTACTAAGGTAAATTAAGTCATTGTTCAATTCTATAAATTCTATATAAATGCATAATTATTCTAACACTTCTTTTATTAGATGACTGTTCAATGGAATCTTTTTGGTGGGACTATGATCAAGCTTGGAACAGAACGTCATCGCCATCTACTTCCTGGAATTGACAGTTTGCAAAATATTGGATGTTTTGCTCTTACAGAATTGGGATATGGAAACAATGCAGTAGAGATGGAGACTACAGCCATATATGATGAACAGACGCGAGAATTTATTATTAATACTCCTTCAACATTAGCCCAAAAGTATTGGATTACAAATGTAATGTTTAATATTATTCACACAACTTACTCTCGTTATATCAAGTTTTTAATTAGTCTTCATTGTATCGAGAGTAAGACTATGCTCAAGTCTATATAAACCTTTCGGTATAGTGAATTTACTAATAAAATTCTCGATGTGATGGAATCCAAATTTTTTATTAGTTTATCCGGTCACCTCACTATAAAGAGAGCTAGTTGTATATGAATTTGTATAATTTGGAATAGCTTGAGTTATTATGACGTCGATTATATATATATTTTTTTATTTATATTAGTCTGCAGTACATGCTAAGTGGGCCGTAGTATTTGCACACGTTATAATTCGTGGTAAAAATGAAGGAATTCATACAATTTTAGTCAGAATTAGAGAAGAAGAGTAATGGAACTTTTTTATTTCAATATGTCTTGGATTTATTTGCGAAAATTCATTACATTTTAAATCTCACATTTATTTTGTGAATCTAGCATGAAAGTTTCTAAAGGCGTAGTTATTGAAGATATGGGTGTCAAATTTGAATGTAACGGCGTAGATAATGGTAAGCATTATCTAAATTCATTGTCATCTTCAATATTTGTATACGTAATGTTAATTATCAGGGTTGGCAATGGAATCGATAGTTACATGGATGGAGCTCAAAAACTAGTGTACATTGGCTCCATTTAGAGCTTTATTGGTCCATTCGCAGCTCTATTGGGCCCATTGCCAACCCTAATTATTATATATATATATATATCTGACTAATAATTCATTTCTGTTCATGCTAGGTAAACTGTGGTTTAAAAACGTAAGTAGTGGATTATTTTTTGTAAATCTTTTTCTATTTATTTATTTATTTATTTTTAACAGGTACGAGTACCAGTCCAAAATTTACTTAATCGTTATTCTGATATTGATGAAAACCATAATTTTACAAGTACAATTGACGGAGCTCGAGCGTTTGTATCTGTTTTATTTATCAAAAGCTGTCAATTTAAATTATTTTTCCTTAAAGTATTATCCAAAATTACAGTCGATTTTTAAAAGTTGCCAATCAATTACTTTCTGGAAGAATAGCTATAGCCTGTATGAATTTGGGTGGATCTAAAGGTAAATTAAATTCAAGAAACTTTGTCAAAAAAATTTTTCTTCATTTAATTTATTTTTATTGTATTGTTACTTTTGGAAAGCTTGTTTGTCTATTGCTTTCCGATATGCTAACTCTAGGTTGGCAGTTGGTCCTACTGGAAAGAGGTAAAAACTTTGATAACGAATACTGTGTAAATAATATTTAGGTGTCTATAATTTCTTGTTTAAAGATGTTTCTCATTTAAAGTGACACGCCAATTTTATCATATCAACTTCAACAACGTGCCTTAATACCACTCCTGGCCACTACCATTGCTTTGAATATTGGACTTAATTATTGCAAAGTTCGATGGGCCGAATCGGTATGCTAATTATCTGAACCCTGTGTTTACTTTAATTTTCATTAACAAATACGTTTTAAAAAAATCAGACCGGAAAGGATCATAATGAAGTCGTTAGACTTTGTTGTGTGATAAAGCCTTTAGTTACTTGGAATTATGAACGTGTTGCTTCTATTTGTAGAGAAAGATGTGGTGGACAAGGATATTTGAGTATCAACAGATTTCCTAGCTTCATTGGATTTGCTCATGCTGGTATGACGGCTGAGGGAGATAATAGTGTTTTAATGCAAAAAGGTATGTAAAATTTTAGATTTAATATATTGTATCTTACTTGTCGGTTGAAATATTAACTTTTTTTCAATGTGGTTTATAATAAAAATAAGTTTCTAAGGAATTGTTAGCTGATGTTCGATCTGGTGCTCTCAAATTGCCACACATCCCTGATGCCGAAAATGCGCGGAGATGGGATATAAGGAGTTTAGATAATCAATTAAAATTATTTAATCTAAGGGAACAAGCATTAATCAAAGAAGTAATTGTCATTCAAAATATCCTCTAATAATAATTACTGAAAAGCTTGCATTGTTAATATTCGGAGCATTGATATGTACCGTATTTTCGCCATGAACGTTATTTCGAATTTTGGCCCGAATTAAGATTAATTTAGGCCAAAATTCGAAATTACACCACTGCACATTATTACGCGAAAATACGGTAACAATTAAAAAAAATCACTTTTGTCGAAAAACATTGAATTATCTGTTGGGCGGAGTAAATATTTAAATCTATAAAGAACATCTTACACTTCGCCCGAACAATTATAATAACTTGATAACGAGTACCATTGTTATTAGGAGACAAATTTATTAATTAATGCTACTTGAATAAATGCGTTGGATCATTAGTTTTGCTTTGCTCCGAATAATAATAATCCTATTTATGCATATAAAAACCGACTATACATTAAAATTTTTTAATTATAATCTAAAAGTTAGGTACCAACATGGCCGTTAATACTGCTAAAGGATCATCTATTTTCGAAGTTTGGATGTTGCGGGAATCAGATACAGTCCAGGCATTAGCTAAAGCACATGGCCATAGAATAGTATTAGAACAAGTTGTTCTTACACTTCAAAAACTTAAAGGTGGCTCCCAGTAAGTTTTTTCCTTAGATTTGTTCAACAGTAACTTAGTAACTTGTTATTATATAATATTTAATATCCTTTATTCAAAAATTAGTTGGATAGTTCATAATATAGGCCGTCTTTATGCACTTAATATAATTGACACAAATCTTGCATGGTATATCACCAACAATCTAATTTCAGTTGAAACAGCATCAAAGGTACAACCATTGATTCGAGAATTAGTTGCAGAATTGGCACCATTAAGTATGAAAATTATTGATGCACTGGGAGTTGATCCACGCGTTTTGTATGCGCCTATTGCTAATCAATGGGCTAAATTTAATGAAGCCGATAACCGCGGTAATTATTTTTTACAGAAATTTGCATGAGATCCATATAAATTATGAATATTAATGGATATTGGTTTATTTGTTAGGCGAGATATTAAGAGACATGAGAATTGGAGTGAGAGCCAGATTATAAAAAGAAACTATAGTACACAAGAACTTTTGTAACGTTTGAATAAATTTTACGCGAAATTTTTTAACACAATTTACACAGATTTGCTGTTTTAGTAGCAGAAAATATTTTTTTTAAATATCACATTTAGTGAATTTTTGTTAAGTTCATATTTAAGTAAAAATTATAAAATACGCCAGCTTTGAAAAATAATTTTGGATGAGCTTTTTTTTTTGACCCTTGGCAGTATCGCTTTGGACATTCATTTTTTGGATGTTTTATATTTATACTTGTTTAAAAATCAATATGCTTTTTATAACAAATAATAAGATAAATAAGGTCTGTTTGAACCATTTTAGATTCAAGTAAACCTGTTTTTTGATTCATTTAAACCCATTTTATGCTTATTTAACCTATCTTAGATTTACTTGAGTCTACCTCAAATCCACTTTAAATAAACTCGCTTTAAGTTAAATATAAACCTATTTCAAGTTCAAAGTGAAATGTACGTATATACGTATATTGAGTAAGCCTATAAGTTAGATATTCAGTATAGTGTATATTATTAAATTTGTAAGCATATATGTACATGTATAATATAAGTACTGTTGGCCCTCTCAAAACCGGTATGCATGGTGGACGGGTTCTTGAAGAGAGACCGTCCCAAATTAGGGGGACGTCTAAAGCCGTGTCCAGTCACGTGTTTTTTGTTTTTAATTAAATTTAGTGTA